TTCGCTAGAACCGGTTGTTACCATTCTAAGCAGTTCGGAGAACCGGTTGTTAGAAGAAATTACTGGGCTAATCCTGTAAGGAAGGCAGGAAGGAAACATTCTGGTGTTGCTTACAGAAACTGCCTCTCCGTTAACCCTTATTACATTCTTGGCAGGACTAGACTTCCTGTCTCAGGAACTTCTCTGGAGTTTTTTTTCCCCCTCCTTTGCTGGTACTTTGCTTGTGTGGAGAGACCATTCAAAGTTACAATGGCACTGAAAAAAGTGACTTATGACCATTTTTCACACTTACGACTGTTGCAGCATCCTCACAGTCATGAGAGGCCAGGCGAGGAGATGCGTGCCTCGATGTGAGTGATATTGAGTTGGCCACGCCCAGCCAATAACATGACCACCAAGCCACGCCCACCCAGTCACATGACCACCAAGCCACTCCCACCACGTAAGCCATGCCCACAGAAACGGTTGTTAAAAATTGTGAATCCTACCCCTGGAAGACCTCCAATGTCCCTTTCTAACTCTCTTCTTTGATTATTTGGAAAGGTCCCAACCATGATGAGAACACGTCATCGCAACAGATATGCCCCAAAAAAACAAAAAAAAACAAGGCTCAGATCAATTTCCACCAAAGGAACACATGCTTCCTTCTCATCTCTGGCCCCATTTTTTATTGCTATGACTTAGCAATACAATATAATTGCAACATGTCGCTTTCGTCCTTCAGCCTCGAGAGCTCTTCGGTTATCACCAATTACAGAAACAAACCACACTTTTCGTTCCCACTGGCTTACGGGCCAGGGCCAACACGCGTCAAGCCCATGAAACTGCACGGCCAACCGCCACAATTTTTACAACCTTTTATGCAAATGTCAAAAGAGCAACCATAAGGGTTTTTTGAGGGGGGTGGGGGGGTGGGGAGGATTGTCAAATTTGAACCAATCCCAAGCCTGTGGGCTTTTTGAAATAATTTCAGGAAGAGAAAGAGAGGACGCCATAGGTTTCTGTGTTACCGCAGGTTTAATTTCTGCAAATCCTACCATATATTTTTTTAAAATATTCCTTCTGGACATTTTTAAATCTCCGCTTCTGCAGCCTGCAAAGTAACATACAAACAGTCTGTCTCTCTCTCTCTCTCAGACACACACCCCCTGCCTGAACTGGAACTTTCAAAGTCATAAATTAGCTGTGTGGGGTTTTTTTTTTCTCCAAAAGCGCCTCGTAAATCCATCAACCTTGGCAGACAAAGGTTTGGAGAAAGCCTGGATGGCTACAGGAACAGGTCAACCTGACATGCTGCCAATTTGATGCAGGGTGACCTTAGCAGATACTTATTAAACCATCCCCAGGTAGTCCTTGACTTACAACGATTTGTTTAGCGACTATTCAAAGTTACCACGGCACTGGAAGAAAAGTGACGTATGGACCGTTTTTCATTCTTAGGCCCATTGTAGCATCCCTAGATCAAAATTCAGATGCTGGGCAGCTGATTCATATTTATGATGGTTGCAGTGTCCCTTTTGAGACCTTCCAACAAGCAAAATCCACGGGGAAGCCCAGATTCACTTAACAACTTCGTTAGTAACTGAACAACTGCAGCAATTCACTTAACAACAGCGGCAAGAAAATGGGGCAAAAGGTCACTTGACAGCTGTCTCACCTAGCAGTAGAAATGTTGGGCCTTCCATTGTGGTCATAAGTCAAAGACTACCCGCATTGGAGTGGGGAAAGGTGGGGAATTGGTTGGGGATTACCCTCCCCATCAAACCAGGGTCCCAGTTACAGGGGGAAATCTGATATTCTCTATTCTCAGCCCAGTTGGAAAAGCAACAAACAGGAGCTGCCATCCATGTAAACTCTGGACCTACTCTTAGTGAATTTGTCCAGCTGGACAGCAACGCCTAGCCAACTTTGAAAAACTTAAGATGGAGAAGCTAAGCAGGTTCATGACTGTTTAGGGTTTGGAAGGGAGACCGCTAGGAAAGTCCAGAGCGGGTTACACTGAGAAGTGGTGACCCTAGAAAAAGACCCCCGCTGAATGCTTCTGCATAGCTGCAAAGGTGTACTCCACGCCTCTACTAGCAATAGAATACTTTATGCCTTCACCAGGCTTGAAATTTTGGACCTAGACAACTTAGAATTACGCCGCCTACGGTCTGACCTAAGCTTAGTACACAAAATTGTCTCTACAACATCCTACCTGTCAACGACTACTTCAGCTTCAACCGTAAATAACACACAGGCAAACAATAGATACAAACTCAAAGTAAACTGCTCTAAATTCAATTGCAGAAAATACGACTTCAACAAGAGAGTGGTCAATGCCTGGAACTCCCTATCTGACTCTTTTGTTACATCCTCAAACCCCCAAAACTTTAACCTCAACCATGGACCTCACCCCATTCCTCAGAGATCTGTAAGGGGGTGTGCATAAGCGCACAAGCATGCCTATCGTCCCTGTCCTACTGTTCCCATTTATTCATATTCATTTATTAGGTTCCTGTTTATACTTATATGTTTATATGTTGTGCTCATACTTATACTTGCTTTCTCATACATGCTTGACAAACTAAACTAAATAAAATAAATAAAATAAAAATAATTCCATGGATGAGTGCATGAGGTTCCCAGGATCTCAACGCCAGCCAGTGTAAGGAGAGATTTTACCTTACCTTGCAAGTTCCTCTTAAGATTGCCTCTCTGTTCTGCAGATGCAGGCCGCCTGCACCCCCTCTACACCATCCAACCCACCTCAGTTACAACTGCCAACAAAAGCCTGGCAAAGCTTTTTTGTACTTTCAAGCCACAGAGGTTGGACTACTTTGGCAGAAATCTGTAGGCGCACGAAAGCAACAAGGCTCTTTGCCCAAAGTTCCCTTGCATGGGACAAATAAGAGAGCGCCTTCCAAGGGTTGGAGTTAACCTGGGTGTCAGCTGATGCCTGCCCCCACCCCAACTCCAAGCGAGAGGGGAAAACGCGGCAGAGCATTTTTAGAAAACTGCTCAGGCCCACAGAATTGAGTGGGGTCCTCCTTCCCCCCGAGGTGCCTTTCTCCGTTCGTCCACCGGATGAATTGAGAGTGGGATGATCAGAAGTGAAACTTAACGGCAACTGCAAGCTTGGAGCCCCTCCAGGCTGTGGATGGCAGACACTGGAGTCCAACATATCTTAGGGAGAGCCAGGTTGGGAAAGGCTAGATGACCTCGTGGGTTGAGATTCCTTCCCATAAGTCTTTGGAATTGCCCTTTTATTGGGGGGGGGGAGAAGGGAGATATGCTTTAGGGAAGGGGTCTTCGAATTTGGTAAGTTTAAGACTTGTGGACTTGAACTCCCAGAATTCTTGAGCTAACATGGACTGGAGGAGAAATTCTGGGATTGAAGTCCACAAGTCTTAAAGCTGTCAAGTTTGAAGAGCCCTGGAATAGAGAAAGAGAGATTGAATAGATAGAAAGAGAGAGAGATAGAATAGTTAGAGGGAGAGAGAGAGAGAGAGATAGAATAGATAGAGAGGTAGGAGAGAGAGAGAGAGAGAAAGAGAGAGAGAGAGAGAGAATGATATGGAATGGAATGGAATGCAGAATGGGCTAGACTAGACTAGACTAGACTAGACTAAGAATGGAATGGACTGGAATGGACTGGACTGGACTGGAATGGAATGGAATGGAATGGAATAGACTAGAATAGATTGAATGAATAGATCAAGAGTCTTCAAACTTGGCAAGTTTAAGACTTGTGGACTTCAACTCCCAGAATTCCTGAGCTAACAAGACTGGAGGAGGAATTCTGGGAGTTGAAGTCCACAAGTCTTAAAGCTGTCACGTTTGAAGAGCCCTGGTCTAGGGTCTTGCTTTGAGGCTCAACCTCTGCAGCAAGACAGCCGAAGCAAGGCCAGCTTCCTCAAAAACGAGAATAAGGGGCTTCTCAGCCCCCCCCCCAAATCCCGTGCAGGAAGGTCCAACTTAGAGGTTAGACCCCCTTTGGGGGTCTCCACTATCCAACCTCAACCCCCCCCCCTTATTTTTCCCATCCTGCTTGCCAAACCCTGCACCCCTTTTCTTTTAGCCAATGTTCGCCCCCTCCCTATAACCTGCTTCTCCCATCCATCACCTGGCTTGGCACCACACACACACACACACACACA